CAGATTTGGTTAACCAGAAATTTCATGTCGTGTTCAATTTATCGTGGTGTTTGGGAAATGATAATTTCCATTCGAATTCCCATCAAACGCGTCGGCTATCTACAGCAATCGGAATCCCAAGACTAAACCACAGACCAATTCTTTCTCGATTTGGTCTTCAATTCCAAAGACGGAAATTCACGTTTTGATTGCTTTAGGCATTTCTGATTCTCTCGCGATACATTCACACACAAATGGAGGGTAGCAACAGTGAGAGAACCAGAGTAAGAGGGAGCCGACAAATTTCAGTCTAAAAAACCCGAATGAACAGTAGCTTCGAGTTTAGGTTTCGATTTTTCCGGTGTCGATTCGAGGTTTCGGTTCGCAATTTCGGTATTTTTAGTCCAAGGATTGTTACTTTGTTTAGCCCGATTGATTGGAAAATTTCAGCTTTGTTCAACAATACAAGATTCATTTCTCAATTTTCATTCTCATTTTGTTGTGTTACGATAGCTTGGTGCGCGTGTCGGTTGATTTGTGATTCTACGTTGTTCGAGTAGCATGTCTTAGTTTTCATTTAAATTGTTTGAATTAGTTTTCATTTCAATTGTGATGTATGTAGTCTTGGTTCTTAAATAAATGCTTTTAATTGGGTAGATGAAAAAACTGGAGTTATTTCTTTCTTGGCAAGGAATAAGAATGGGCCATAAAGTGAGTTTTGGACCATAAGGAATTTGGCCAAGTAATACATCATGTTAGCTAGTCTTTTTGCCCCAATAATATCAAATTAGCTTTTAGGAAAATAAACAATTGATGAACATCCTAGCTGGCTTTAGGCACGGCTTAATAAATTGTGATTGATTGTGTATACGTTCGTGTGACATAATTACGATCCTTAAAAATAAAATCGGGTATGCGTTTGCGCAACTTCGACCAAAATTTTTTAATAATAATAAAGTGTGATTAATTGTGGGCACGTACGTGTGGCATAGTCTTGACGCGCTAAACGAAAATGATTACACGTACGCGTGACTCATTTTTTTGTATAACTCCTTAATTACTAATAATCAAGCATTTAAAAGCGGTTAAAAGGGGTAAATGCACATAGGTTTAAGAATAAGTAATTAAAACGATTGATTAAGCCATGTATGATCAAAGCGACCGTGCTAAAACCACGAAACTCGGGAATGCCTAACATCTTCTCCCGGGTTAACAAAATTCTTTACCCGGATTTCTGTGTTCGCAGATCATAAATAAGAGTCAAACTTCCTCGATTCGGGATTTTAAACCGGTGACTTGGGACACCATAAATATCCCAAGTGGCGACTCTGAATCTGAATAAATAATCCCGTTTCGGTTATTGTCACTTTAATTGGAAAAAACTCCCCTATCCCCGTCGGGTAAAAAGGAGGTGTGACATCGGGCATATAGTTTGATACTGTGAGGTGTTGAGTTAGATCAGGAGCATGCATATAAGTTTTTTATTCATGTCGTAGCCCTCATTTGTACTTATCATTTAGTTTTATCCTGATTTTGAAAGTAACAGAGATATGTGACTCTGTATTGTGGTTTTGTGCCTGAAAACCATGTCAAAATATAAGTTATTTATGTGTCTTAATCCTTGTATCCATTTGATGATGTCATGTCATATTTACTGCTTTCTTTAATGCTTTCACTTGCTTATTATACTGCTAATGAATGTAAGTGGCGATCGCTCGTTACTACTTCTTCAAGGCTAGATTTGATACTTATTAAGTACCGTAATTTTGTACTCATATTATACTTCTACAAATTTTATGCAGATTTGAGGCTGGAAGTAGTATACTCATCCAGCTGCTTAGTGACTTACATTTGGAGACTTCGCGGCGAGCTGCCTACTTGTTCGATCTGCATCACATGGAGTCCCCTCCCCTGTTATCTATTTCTATTTTTGTTTCTTTCGAACAGATATTTCTATGTTATTAGACACAATTTACTCTTAATATATTAGATGCTCGTGAGAGTTGTGACACCGGGTCTTGGGTGCCGTTAGACAGTTGTGGTCGTGTTTAGACCCTGTTTTAGAGATTTGTAACTTTATGTTGGATTTTGAAACTATTCTATTTTCATATTTTATTATCACTCAATCAATAACTTAATAAATTGGCATCTGTTATTGTTAAATGAGTGTTGACTTGCCTAACAAGATGGTTAGGCGCCATCACGACCTTTGGTGGAATTTTGGGTCGTAACAATTCTCTAGGGCTATGAGATTTTTTAATATTGTCTCTTAGTTAACTCTACTGCTATCCGTGTGCGATATATATGTAGCGTTTGACTTATTGCAGTTTTGTGAACATACACAACATCTTCTCGCGTATAGTTGAAGCCCAGTCACAAATCCAATGCCTACAAAAACCAAATTTTGATAACAAAGCAATCAATTCATTAAGATCAATCTCGAGATCCCCCATTTTGCTTCTCCAATCCCATTCCCCAAATTGCACAAAGCATACTGCAGTAACCAATAATTCTTCTGCATCCATATCACCGATAACTCAGGTTTCTTCAAAGCCCATTTGGATAAGGAAATCAAATTCTTCTTGGGAACATATGGTGTCTTCAACACTCTGAAAACAAATTCCTTAGGGAAATACAAGTCAATTTCCTCCCGGTTGGACTGTCTAGATCTAGCAACAATACAATTACTCTGCAATAGAGAGACAACACGCTCTCTAATTCCTCCAAATTTACTACCTTTACTTCCTCCACTTTTTCATCATTTTCCCTCACAACCTCATTATCTCCGAAATTAGAACCACTATCAGCTGCAAGGTAATTCTCAATTCCATAAAAACAGAGGATCCTTCAACAGACTCTGGTGGAACAACTCCAAAATTCTCTCTCTCTCTCTCTCTCTCTCTCTCTCTCTCTCTCTCTCTCTCTCTCTCTCTCTCTCAGTAGGCTCTAGATGGTCCTGGCAACTAAAAGATATCAGAATCGACTCCTTATTAGCAAATTCATTAGTCAAGTTAAGTTCATTTCTTTTGGGACTTCCATCGAACACCTCTATGTCACCTTCATGGATTAAAACCTCTTGAGGAATCTGCCTAGCTCTTTGAGGACATTTATCAAACGAGTGATCTTCGTTATTTTCGGAATATTTTATTTTCTATTGATGAAATGCTTGTTAAAGGGTGACCGGTCTCCAAATGATCATAACCCATGTAAAATCCACTCATTGAGTCTAGAGATGCTTTAAGTGGTGAAAAATCGATATGTGAGCAATTAGTCTCCACATACTCGGCACTAGAGTTCAGCAAGTTGTCTAACCCAACGCCAACTATTGACACCACCAAATCATCACATAATTGAATGAAATAGAAACCTAGATTGTTATTTTTAATCTGATAAGCATATGGTACCTGATAAGAGTATGGAGGCGAGTCATCATGGTAATACTCAAAGTCATAGGAACTGAAACTCTGATCTAATATAATACTGATGACTGTACGCATCTATCATCGGATGGGCTTCGGTCCTGTTAAGCAATTGCTGAATTCTATGTACCTTCGACGAGTTCTCTCCAAGTTGTCTGCAAGCGTTGCATCAAGTTGCGATTGCTCAGTTTCAAACTTTCGAAACTTATCTTCGGTTTCCCTTGACGATTGTGTCATCAGACCTTGGAGTGAAAGTGGGGGTTGGAAATTGTGGCTCTGATACCGATTGTAGTGAATCACGGTAGATTCGCCATTGAAACAGGAAAGCAAAATTAAGAGATAATAATTCAAATTTTCATTCAACATCTTCTTGAAGTTATATCAGTATTTAAATAAACGGAAAAATGTGTAAAAAGCTAACTTTAGGGGTAAAAGTAAAAGCTACTATAATATTTAGGACTAAAGTGTAATTCCGAAAAACTTTGCAAATATTCGGGAGGCTTCATTCGCAACAGTTAAAGAGCTATACTTTGATTCTTTAGAGACGCTACAAATTAAAGTCTTTTAATGGTCAGAAACCGTCAAACAAGTCAAGTGAAGTGATTTCTCCCTTACATTAAATTAACTACTTTTCATGATTATTGGACTTCTCCCGCTAACACTTAATACTTGTTTGAATTCGAAAGGGTTAGAAAATAGTATATATTATACCAAGGTAAAATTCTCAGGAAGTATCCTATATTTAGTATTAATGATTTATAAGAAACGTTTTCACCTTCAAATATAATTAAAAGGCTTTGTCATTGTCCTCATTGACCTCTTTCGGCCAAACGTTTATCAGAAGTAGCTGTTAAAAATTGCTTCTCCATTCTCCATAAATAAAAAATAAGTTTGTCAAGATAATACAACTAAAACACAGAATACAAAATTGCCAATTATGTTTGGTTTTTGTTTCCTCGAAGCAAGAAAATTCTTCTCATAAGTTTGGTTTCTGTTTTTTCTGTGCTCCGGTTATGTATTCACAGAATCAGGCATTTTCTACTCTTCACACAGTGGAAATATGAGGTGTATATGGTGGAGAGAGACTTCTTAATATCCTCCAATCAAACTTGATCAGCAATACAGACGCTTCAAACCAAAAAAAAAAAAAGAAACAAAATGTCTAAACAAAGGAACAACATCCGAAGTGCGTGTCAAGGGGATATAAGAAATGTTTTAAAACACATAGTTTCGTTTGTTCCATAAAATAGAATGATAGAATTTAAAGTTAAACCACCAAGTTAGCTAACGGGATTATTAGTTCTTTATACCATAGAAAAGGTAACACATGAATATGAAATAAAAAATGCAACTCGATTCAAAGTTCAATCTAAAGTGACAGATTTAAGGCTAATGCGGAAAGATGATATACGCTGTTTTTTTTTTTAACTTACTGACAAGACAAGGATGCAGACCTTAAAACTAAATCTTTACTTCCATCCTACAATTATCATCTTTTTTCCCCAATCAAACGTAATGTTAACTAAAAATAGAGCAATTTCTCAAAAGAACACCAAAACTACAAGCATCTGGCCACTTCAATATGATTACAAGATGACGATGTGAACAATAGGAGGCTGCAAATAGTATACACTTTCCAGCCGGAAGAACATGAGTACATGACAAAATCTTCACATCTGGAAGTAAAAACTCAATAATGGTCGAAGTTGAGTTTGTACACAACTGTTTGCAGGATAAATTAAGATATGATGAAGAAGAGAATCATATACACTGTACACAGGTATATTATATCACACTAAAATATCTGACCGGAAATCTCTTTCTAGTTTACTGTTTCAGCTTTCAACAAGTCCTTGAAGGATCTTTTTAGCTTGAGCGAGGCTGTCCATGTGATGAACTTCGGAAACCCATATATTTTGCATGGGAAGCATCACCATATCCAGCTCAGTCAGATGTGTTTCCAGCCACCTGATAGCATCTGAACTCATGAGCCTGCCAACAACAGTCTGCCAAGAAAACAATAAAAAGCACATCCTGAAGTCGCTCATCATAAAGCAAAACGAGCATCAGGGGTACATAATATATAGCTACCGAGATTGCAGGAAGTGGCTGATGGGTGAAAACAGCATAATAAAACAGATCGAGGTTAACCCAAGCACACCTCCTTAAGCTATTGTGTGGTAGTCCGTATGCTTATTCAACCATTATATTGGGTGAACTATTATGCGGTGTTCCATTCTTTGTTCGATCGATATATTGGGAACTTATTGTTGTTTGCAGCTAGTGCGAAGTGAGAACGAAAGGTAAGTTATAGCCCGTTTGGCCAAGCTGTAAAAATAAGCTTATTTTGAGAAGTGCTTTTTTTCAAAAGTGCTTTTCTCAAAAGTACTTTTGGTGAGAAGCAGTTTGTGTTTGGCTAATTAGTTTGAAAAGCACTTCTGAGCAGCAATTAGTGTTTGGCCAAGCTTTAAAAAGCTGCTTCTAAGTGTATTTTTCTCAAAAGTGCTTCTCAAAAAAGTGCTTTTGGAGAGAAGCTACTTTTTTCTACTTCTCCAAAACTGCTTCTGTTTCTCCTCAAAAGCACTTTTTTCCTTCCAAAAGCTTGGCCAAACACCTCAATTTTTTGCCAAAAGTGCTTTTTCAAAACTGCTTCTGTTTCTCCTCAAAAGCACTTTTTTCCTTCCAAAAGCTTGGCCAAACACCTCAATTTTTGGCCAAAAGTACTTTTGGCAAAAAAAAAAAAAAAAAAGCACTTTTGGCCTTAAAAGAAGCTTGGCCAAACAGGCTATTAAAATCCACCTCGAGAGTCAAAATAACAGAACAAATTCAATGTGACTGAAACTGCTTCACTCAAATTGATTCTATTATTATTAAAAGGTATAGTGATTCCATAAATAGAGAACTAGTCATACTACATCTCTACACTTCAATTTAAACTGCAATCAGATAACATTTCCCTATTGGTACAATATGCACATTGTATATGTATAATTTATAATACATGCACGCACACACACACATACATATATACAATCTATAGGTATACATGCCTTGCTTGTATTATGCCATTACCATAAGACGAGAAGGTAAGTAGGACACATGCCACTGCCAATGAAACTTACCAAAAGGGAGCTGCAGCAAGCTTTGAGGATGAGGGACTGAAAGAAATCTTGATCTGAACTACTTATAGCCTTGTCGGGCTTGGCAGAAAACACAAGGTCTTGACATGATGAATCAAATATGGAAGCCTGGTTTCTCACTGTGACCCTGCCATGCCGCTTCATAATTCTCCTTAAATGGGCAATAGTTAAACTGCTGCATGCCTGCTTTCTCCTGGTCTTCTTTGATCTCTTGTGAGTTTTAGCATAGCTTTCACCTGAAACTTCATTATCATGTAACCCCAACAAAACTGCTGCAATCTCCCAACTAGCCCAGCAACAACAAGATGATGATCCGTCATCTGCCCAAGCATAGAGTATGTCATGGAAAACTAGCATTGTCTGATAACTGGACAGGAAACTTTTCAGAGATTAGGACAATATCTAACTGCCTGTTGCAAGTGAGCTTTTTCCAGTAGCAAAAGAAACTTCATTTAATATGGAAAAAATGGAAACAACCTACCCACCCACCCACCCCAAACCACACAGGGCTTTGGTGTAGTGGTACAAGTGCAGCCTGTGATGTGGGTTTGAACCCTGACAAAAGCCTAGTATTTAAGTGGAGAAGAATAGAGAGACCATTCCCTGGAGGACTTCTCAGTTATCAAAAAAAGAAAAAATGAAACAATCTAAATCTCTGCATAGAAAATCCAAATATTCAGTCTTCATGAAAATAAAAATAAAAAATACTACTCATCAAAGAACTTGGTGGTTTAAAAAATTTAAGAAAAATCCACATGACTGTAAAAGTAAAGGAAGAATAACAAGGAGTATCATAAAATCAAGTACAGTTCTTTGATATTGGAGATCAAAAGCTGTGCAACATATACATACAGAACATACCAAAGATAAAACCAGCAAGTGGAATGTCAACACCATATGAATTAGGTCTAGGCTCAGTTCTTGTATGAAGGTATTTGCCTTTCCTGTTGTACTCCAAGACAAGGACATAAATAGCCACAACCTGACATTATTGAGCAAAAAAATAGGATGTCCCGTGGCGTGAGAAGATAAGTCCAACTATCACGCACAAAATGTTAGGCAAAATATTATAGATGCCCTAATTGCTCATGTACACCCTAAAACATTTTCAACTCACTTAGCTTTTATATCTTCAAATTCGCCTTAGATAGGCATTTCTGTCATATCTATAGAAATATCATTAAAAGCTTTTCAATTTTGTAGAAAACCTAGGGCTCATGATCAAAGAAATTTTCTTAAATTACACTATTACAGTTGGTCAAATACTTTCAATGGATCCTAAAGGTAGTAAAGAAGATACAGGTTCTTCTAACACTATCAGCATCTATAAATTTCATCCTAGAGAAACTATTTAACACAAGAAATCCAAAAGTTGTTGCACCAAGGAAGAAAGCAACAAAATGACGGAATAAAGGAGATGAAGCACATGTGGAAGCTTTGAGTATGCAATATGAGCGGTGTCTTGTTAATGCGCTTCTCTTGTTTTCTCATTCTTTTACTTTGAATTATGTGTTTTCTTTCCCACTTGGTTGGTAATGCTCAAGTGATCTTAAATGAGAATAAGTAAAAGAACTAAAGAAGGTTCTTGTTCAGTTCAATCAATTGAAAATTGGAGTGGGCTATACAAAATTTTGGATAGTTTATTCAGCATTTCAAAATATGTCCTCTTTTCGATAAATTGAGGTTTCAAAGTATGTTTAGGGCCAAACAAGATATTGTTAATAGCATTCTTAGCAGGAGTTCAAAGAAGTGGGTAGAAGAGAAGAATTCACACGTAGATAAAGAGTGAAAAATGTTCAAAAAGTTACATGTTTTCTCTTTTCAACAAGATCAGAGAAGCAAATTGTTTAACAACCCAACTAATATCTGCATAAGAACTGTGATTACCCTGCAATTGAACTCCATTGGTTGGGTCTCTAAACAGTTTGCTATATCAGAAATCAGAGATGCGGTTATAGCACATAATGGAGAACCACCATCCAAGTTCAAAGCAGCAGATTGGCAGGTGTATGCATCCTCATTATGATCATTAATCACACTTGATGGGTTGATAACAATGAAGGATGTAGGTATCATCATAAAGTTGTCCTGCACACTGGAAAGACAACATGCTTTAGCATATCAAATAATTTCAGTATCGAACAAAATGCCATACTTAATTAACTTTGTCCTGCGCACTGAAAAAAAAAAATTGCAGGGTTAGTAATTAAAGCATAAATACTACTCCAGGTTAAAAGAGAATATTAAGATTATTAATACACTGCTAGTATTGCACTGCAGTATCAAAAAACAAGAAATTTTTGTCAACCACAGCCATGAAAAGGACTAGTGACAGTCTATGCCGTTTTTAATTGTCAAACATAGAGAAGTTTGTTATTGGAAACATATTAGTGGATGATGCAAGAAATGTAGAAGCTTACAGGTCAGAGATATTAGAATGTTTCAGAATCTTTTCTAAATCTTAATCTTCCTTTCGGTGTCAAATATGCACTCAGATGACAAAGCTCATTTAGTGAAATAAGCAATAATAGCACCTAGCAATTGCAAGAGAAAATTATTACTATAATCTACAACTAATTATTTTCAGCTCAAACGTCTCTATATCTTACATGAGTAGAAGTGCTGGAGGTGAAGGTTGGCAGAACCATTGAGCTGAAAGAGTTGCTAAAATATATAGAAATTGCATACCTAAGAGCAAGTACTCTGTGAAATGATGCAGTAACGTCTCGTCCAAATCCAGCAGGGTAAGCAAGTTTTTTTGCAGCCCCAAAAATCTTGACCTAGTCAATCATGAAACAGTCTTAAAGTAAAAAAAATGCCGTCTCACAAGAAAGAGGCAATAGAACTATGTAATAAGTTAGAAAAGATGAGAAGCAAAGAGAAGATACCATCTTACGGTCCATTAAAACGTGGACACAGATACTGATAGTTCCTTCAAGGAATAATGACGAACAATCACGATTGATGCTTTCGCACCTTAAATGTTCTGCACACGATTTTCCATCTGAACAATGAACCGCCTTGATCTGCCCATGAATAGATGTTAAGTTTCCCTCGGGCAAATTATGATCAGAGGGGTATATGTTTGTCATTTCTCCAAATGGAACAAGAGGCCCGCGAGAACAGTCCTCCAACAACTCCAAGCTAACATCAAATAAGTTTGTGACATCAGATGGAATATATAAGTTGACATCTGAAGAGATCTCATTGCTTCCATTATTGGGTAAACAATTTGGAATTTGAAACCGATGATAGTCTTCTGGAAGAACACTATGGTGGCTTAAAAATGAGACGCACTGTTTAAATAAGCAGGATACATCTAAACTTTGAAGAGCATTGACAGATGCGAAAGAAACACTCCAAATATTTGTTCCAGAATTCACAACTATTTTATCACCTATTCCATCAGTACATAACATGCCTTCTTTCTGATGTTTTATAAGATATTGACCACCAATTTTCAACACCTGCAATATTAAAGAACAAAATTTGTTTTAAGTTGTTAATGCAAATTTCAAATAGCAACGTTTTATGTCACACATCAGAACGAATAGAGATGAAATGACATACCTCATAAACAGAAAAAGCTTCTGATTTGAATTCCAGCAATGCCTTTCTCACTTGTGGTTTGCAACAGGACCCCACATCTGCATTTGTACCTGTGTGTTGCAACATACCAAGAGACGGATAATTAACACAATTTCCAGTCACAAGACACGGAAATTTGTCTGGGCAGCATGAGTTATGATGCCTGTCCGCCACAGAAGAGCACAAGTAAGCAGAGTGACTGGAGCTGCAACTTGGTTCATTTTCAGTATCATTCAGTGCAGACGTCAAAGCCTCACTAGACAGTTGGTCAGGTTTATGTCTTTTGCACGCAATAAGTTTTCCATTTTCCATTCCGTTAAAAAACTTCATTGGTTCCTTCAGTTGATCTATCAAAGGCTTATCAATCTGGGTATCTCTGTTTTTGTCAGCAATAAGTAAATCCCAAGGCAGAATTAAGGCCTCGGCAAATGCGCTTGATGTACTTGAAGCATGTTGACTTCCTTGAAACTGCTGCAAACATATCCATAGACTGATTAAATTTGTTATCACAAACTTGTAAGAAGGCACTGTTTTTGGCAAGACGCCTACCTTTTGCAGAATAGGGAATTTATGCATCAGCTGAAGTAGGTGAAACTTTCCTCTTCCAACCTTCCCAAAGTCAATTGGGGAATCTACACAGATAGTAAAATGATGATTTACAGGTATTACGTCCCTCATGTTGTAGTAAAGATGGAGTGGCATGTTCATCTCTCTCACAAATGGGGCATTCTCAAAAATACTTCTGCATGTGAAAGGTTCATTTTGGATTAAATCTACATTATCCAGCTTCATGGGTATGTCTTCCATAATTGACAAAAAATTTCTGACCTGAAAAAGAAAATATTTAGTCGGAGAAAAGAAAAAGGAATTTTTTAGTGGATGGAACAATTTCCACCATGTAACATTGATAGTGCTGCACATTAAATGATCAGGAAATGAGAAACACAAAATGAAAGAAGATTGATGTTGTATCACACCTCGTACATGTTATTGAATTTCCAACTTGATGGAAGATCTGGTATGATAACATCCACGCTTCCAGTTGCATCAACAAGCAACATCCTTCCAGAAGCTGGTGAGACCTGGCTGAACATAAAATTAACTTGATAATATCTTATAAGTTTATAAGAAATAGGCGTAATACATACGGAGACACCTAAAGTTGGCACAATCTTTCACTTAGACACTTAAACTAGGCCTCTTTCCAATTAGACACGTTTCTTAGGCAATTCTCATACCAATTAGACACATTTTTTGCTGGCTTATTAATTAACCAAGCGCGTGTTCTGCAATCTCCGTCTACATGGCAAAAGTAACCATTATAAATCGTTCCACATCATTTTTTTGTCCACCTCACTGTCCACCTCAGCTATATAGTGTTATTTCCACTAAAATGCAAATATCCCCTTCGTCCCCGACCTCCCACGTTCCCCCACCAGCCGATGTTCCTCCTCCTCCTCATCCTGTTCTCTTGCTCGATTTTGATTCTGAAATTTCTGAATTCCTTCATTATCTGAGCTAGTATTACTGGTTTGAGTTTGGGTAAGCTGGGATTGAGCTTCTGAACCCTATCATCGAGTATCAGAAGCGATTTTGGGAATTTTTTTATTCCGGTTCCATGATTTGCGTTTGAATTCGATTGGGAGTTTGGGAATCTAGTTGGAAACATCATTTTAAAGCTGAATCGGAAGGATTAGCTTGATTTGAAATGATTTGCTAGTTTTTGGTTCGAAATTTTGAGCTGATTGTGCGAAGAAGAAGACGACCTAGGGTTCGTTGATTTCGTGAGTGTTTGTTCAAATTAGTCACTGGGGTTCATCCCTACACCTGTTGGGAAGTTGCATTCGTAGTTCTAGCTTGATTGGAACTGATTTGATGCGATTTTGGTCAGAAAACTTTCAAACGGAATCTGCGAAGAACACGACAGGCTGGGTTTTGACTGTTAATATAGATTCCGGATCCGAATTGACTGGAGAATACTTTTTTGGTGACGGAAATCAGCGATTTATTTGTGCAAATCAGCTGTTCTCATAGCAGAAGCAGAAAGGGGTAACCACCTGTCGGCATCAAATCTTCTAACGAAACTTTGTAACTTTCAAATTTGGACTAATCCGTACGCCACCCGACATTGCCTCGCCGGAATAATTGGTACCGACAAACTGCGACCCATTTGGACTCCCCACAAAATTTTCAGATCTGAAGGTGTTTTTGATAACATCAAAATTACATAACAATGGTCAAAAGCATTTTTAATATTTATTTAATTGGAAAATGCCATGTTTATTTCATTCACGCGCTCAAGGAGACTGAGAAACACTTTCTTTGCCATGTCATAGTTTTGTGTTTAATTGGTACAGTTTGAAATGAATTCTTGTGTCTAATTGGAAAGAGACCTAGTTTAAGTGTCTAAGTGAAAGATTGTGCCAACTTTAGGTGTCTCCGTATGTATTACGCCTAAGAAATATAAAGTCCGAAAAAAGATGCTTTAGATATCAAATGCATGCAAAGTTTAGAAATCAGGAAGCTTGCATGGAGAATCTTAGTAGCTCAGTTGGTTGGCTGCATTGGTGAGGACCCAATTCCGCACCTTATATTCCCCTCCCCCATTTCCCTTTCCAAAAAGAACAAAAGGAAGCTTGCATAATGTTAAAACTTCTATTGGCCTCTTTTCTATACATAGAATGATGCTAATAAATGATTTATCCCATTTATACAGATCAATGCAATACGACTACTACTCTTTTTTCTATGATCATAAATCAAAGAGGCCAACCAATAGTTAGGAAATGCTACCTAATGCTAACATCAAATAGCATACCATACATCATAACGTCATAAATCATAACAGATTCAAGCCCCTAAATTCTGGCAAGTATATCCTTGCAACAACAAAAAAGAAAGTACAAATAAAACGTTCGAACCTTCAAGATTCCAAGCAAAGAAACACCTATGTCTTCACTGTGAATGGTTCTCTTTATAGACAGCGCAAAAGGTCTCCCGCCACAAGATATGGAGTTATACTCCTTTTGGGTACCCATGATATCAAAATCTCTGCCCTGATGGCAAATCAGTTTCCTCCACATTGCCTCACAATAATTAATCAAATTAGCGATAGGTGCCACCTGAAAGTGATTATGCAACAACTATTAGATCTTTATGCAGCTAAGTGAGTTTTAATTACTAGAAAGTAAAGCAGTGTCCAACCCCTGACCCCCAGAAAGAAAAAGACCTTTGATAATGATAATTTCATAAAAACCTGCAAGCTTACCAACTTCAAAGGAGCGGAACTTGTTTCCCTGCTACAAGCACATCTATCGTGCTTGACAAATTCCATGAACAACCCATGCTGCCGAAACAAAATTTATTTACAAGTGAGTACAACAACTAAGACCCAACTTATATGCTCACAATGACAACACACTTACCCGAATTTGGAAGGCTGAAGCGGGCAAATATGAAGTTGCATATATCTGAGCAAATCCTTTCTTCTGGCAATACCTTGCAATTTTGCACATCAGCTAAGGATAGTTTTCTATGACACTAGACACAAAGAAAAGATATCATGATAAAACACAGTCTTAGTTCTAATGTATATCACCGGTAAATGCAAGCAACTTACACTTGTCGATCCCAAGATCTCTTTCTCAGATAAGATCCCAGAGAACTTTCTCCTAAAAGAGATTACGACAAGTAATACCCTGAAGCAAATGAAAAGATCACCATATTAATAATAGTATAAAGACACACACAAAATCAATTTGATCATTGTTACTCTTGCATCACTACCATAGCCTGGCAACAAATACTAAGGAGTCAATAAACTTCGCAAGAAGGCTCTGGCAGCAGGTCACTGTATAACATCTGTGGGCCCAAAAAAGATCGAACTGGTGAATACAATGAATAAGCATCGTGTACAGTCGAAACATTTACAATGAGTATTAGAAGCCCTAACCCTGTTTCCAGCGAGGAGAAACATTCCACGGAAATGCTAGTTTTAACACAAGAGCCAAGTATAAGTGTCTTTGTCCATGAATAACTTGGATTTATAAAATGAACGTTTTTCACTGATACCTGAGAAAAAGCAACCCATTAGAAGAATAAACAAGTAAACTTCATACTTCTCTCAATGTCTCTCTAATTTTCTTATCAAAGTAAAGTTACACTTTACCACCTTGAAAACATGGAAATTAGTCTAAAAGCTGTTGTAACATACCAGTGCTCCAACTCTCACACTATGTGGCACAGAAAGCTGTGGATCCGTTAACAGGAGCAACAGTTCATTATCCAACTCAACAATCATACCCCTCGTGTAAACTCCTGTCACAGTCCCAGTATAAGTAACAAGTTCTCCCTCCCCGCTAGCGTCAATTTCCTTAACGGGAATACATTGCTGGGGGAACTCAGGAATATGCATCAAAGAGTTATCCGCAGCTACATACATCAACTGAGACACCTTTTTCCCCACAAATACAAGTCTCTTCTTCAACCCCGATAGTGAAACAATTCTCCTTATTAGTCCTGTAAACACCGGATGCCAAGAAGAAGCAGATCCACAAAAGTACACAATCTCGTGTTTGTTATAACAATGACCACTCATTTCATCATCCAAATTCTTCATATCCAATCTTAAATCTTTAGGATTACACAATTTACACCCACAAACTAAAACATTTACGAGGAAACCCCGAAGATTTTCCGGACCAGCTCTTGACCCATCTCTGCAAGGAACTACTGAAACAGGGCTAACAGATTCTACTACGCCGCGTACAAAATACCTAGCTTTTATACTAACATTTTGATCAACACAACAGCCAGACAGTACATTAAAAGTATCTGAAGAATTTTCAGAAGAAGAATCAGGAAAAGCCCACCTAATAATTTCTAAAAACCCACCATTACATTTCATGGGAATAAAATTCCAAGCCAAAATTTGAACTTTTTTGTTAATTAAACTAGGATTAAACCGAAGAATATCACAACAAACAGTGGCGGACCCATCAGAGAAACGAAAACAATTGCATTTAAGAGGTAAATTTTCTGCGTGAGGTAGAAAGAGAGTGCCTGTAAGGACAGTAGGGTAGTTAAGGGATTTGAGTATTTTAGAGGAAGAAAGTGTAGGGAGGGAGGGTGTATGGGGTTGGGTTGAAAATTGGGGCGGTGGGATTTTATGAGAAGGATTGGAGAAGAGTGAGGATGCGCCGGTGAGAGGACGAGATTGACGAAGGAGCTCGGCGATTGTTAGGGTTTTGACGGTTGCTTCCTCCATTGATGATACAAATCACATGTACACTGGCGGATAAAAGAAAATCAGAGAAAAGGCGACACAGTATTGGGGTGGGGTGGGGTGGGGTGGGGTTGGGGATGGGAGTTTGCCGGCAAGTGACGGAAGAGGGAAGCTGTACGCTGCAGCTGCGCGGGAAGGAGTGGAGGACTAGTTTAAAAGTATTCTTTCTACTATGTGACTAGCAGGGGGTTTAGATTGGCTTCTAAAAATTATAGCTTTTCAATTAGGGAAATTAGCAGGTATGTCACTGTACAAACTTTCCTAATAAAAAATAATCCAAAACAAAATATCTACTAAAAAGGGGAAAAATTCAAAAATAGCCAGATTTACCACTGGTCGTTGAAAAATAGCCAAGTTTCAAAAGTCATCGAAATTTAGCCACTTTAAATCTGAGCGAAAACACTGTTCAAAATCCGGAAAAATACGCCCGCAAATTTTACGGGAGGCATAAGTATGCTTGAACTCCCGTAAATTTTAGGGAGTTCCAGGATAACTATGCTGGAACTCCCGCAAATTTTACGGGAGTTCCAGCAAGTATAATTGTCCGGTATAATATACTGGAGTTTGGAGCACTGGTGCTCCAGTCTCCCGCAAATTTTACAGGAGTTAGTAAAGTATACCGGTCCAGCATAATATGTTGGAGTTCGTACACAAATGCACCAGAACTCCCGTATATTATACTGGACCGGTCCCTGTTGCAGCAAAATAGTGGCTATTTTTCATTGACTTGATAACGCTGGCTATTTTTCATTGACCAGTGTGAAAACTGGCTATACCAACCGAGTTTTCTCTCTCTCTTTCTGCGATTTTTTCCAAAATTCAACCAATATTGCTGACGACAAAATAAGATACATTTCGGTTATTTCCGTCTGATTCCAGGTAATTTCGAGTAGAAAACCTTTTATTTTGTATATTTTTCTGATTGCATGTGTTTTTGTAGAATGAATGTTGCTTTTCTTTAGGCTTTTGCGATTGATTGTGTAAGTTTTGGTCGAGTTTTTGTATTAATTTCTTCACAATTTTCTGTAACCTTTTGTTCGTATATTTTTTTTTAAAAATTTTGTCATTGAACCTAGTTTCAATTTTGAAACAGAGCAATATGAGAAGACAAACTCGTTCGATGAGTTCATCACCTTATTCAAAGTCGGTTTCAATTGAGAAATCAAGCAACATGAGAAGAGAAACTAGGTAGATGAGTTTATCTCCTCATTCAACCCTGGGTTTAGTTGACAAATCGATTGATGAACAAAATATGCGAAGACAAAATCGTTCCGACAGTGTTAATGTGTTAGAATCTCGAAAGGATATTGTTGGAAAATCTGAGAAAAAGAAGAGCAAGAGGGTTATAATGGATGCTGATCAAGGTAAGAGAAAATGTGTCGTGGAGGACGAAGTAAATTTGGGTGTCAAGCCAAAAAAAAAAACAAGGTTCAGAAGGCAGAAAAAGTTAAAATTCCTGACAAAGTTTGTAAGGTATATACAATTTCAGTTATACTTTTTTCTATTGTTGACTCCTCTTTTAAAATTTGGATTTAGTTTGTATTTGTTTGTTTTTAATTCGTGTCATGTATTTGTAGCCTTGGAAGCTCTATATTCCAGTTGGTGAGCCGTTTCCTGTTACTCATTGGTCATCATACACTAATGTGGACATTGTATCGGTTTTACGGTCAAAGTTGACTGATGTCCAGCTTCGGATGTTTAGGGAAAGCTGTTTTGGCTATTTCCTCGATTTACCTCGAGTTGCTATCCAGGCACAACTTATTCGTTCTTTAATGTTTAGGGAGTTGGTTCAAGATAAGTGTGATCAATTTTATGTGAAATTGAATGACGAATGTGTTTTACGTTTTGGTCTTCGAGAATTTGGCATTGTAACTGGTTTAACCTATTGTGGTAATGAACATGTTGAGGGTAAATTCAGTGGACCCAATAGGTTGGTGGATACTTATTTTTCTAGTTTTGAAGTGGTGTCAAAGAAGTCACTTATTGATTGTTTTGAGAAGAAGAAATGGCAGTCTGATGAAGACGCAGTTAAGATTGCAATCATTTATTTCATAAACACATTTCTAATGTCCACTCAGGCTCAGAAGACATTTATAAGTAAACGTGATTTCCATCTTGTCGAGAGTGGTGAGTATGTGTCGTTTCCATGGGGTAAGATTGCGTTTCGAGCTTTAATGAAGTCGGTGAGGGACAGGTTGAGGGGAAAGTCTGAGTTTTATAGGATTGGTGGATTTCCTCTTGCACTACAGGTGTGGTTCTATGAATGTTGCACTGTAGTTGATCAAAAGTTTGTTGTTCGCGTTGGAGATCATACACCACGCATATTGAATTGGGAAATGACAGACAGGCCAACGCGTGAGGACTTCTCTACTGGTTTCTTCAACAGCACAGGGAATAAGGTACCATCTTTTATGTCTTGATGGGATATACATTTATAATACACTGTAATTCATTATGATACATCAAACATACAGTTTTTATACATCTTTGATACATCTAGGACTGAATCACTTTTGGTTACCTTTGTAGTTTAAAAATATCTCTCCGACAATTGAAGAGCTAAGGAGATTTACTTTGCCTGTTGAAGTTACCGATGAGTATCAGAAATATTTGACATCACGTAACAGGGGAAAACTTCCTATTGATGATAGCGATGATTTTGTCACGCCACCCCCGAAACACATTAAGGAGCCTGTCCCACCAAAAAAGGCGCCAAAAAATGCGCCAGGTGTCCAACCTGTTGATTATGACCGTGAGTTGCAGAAGTTGAAAGCTGATGTGAAGCAAGTATGTATTGGTCTTTTTTATATATTTTTTTGAAAGTATTGTTCAAATTGTATATTTAAAGTCTATTATCTTTCTTATTTGTTTCATCTTGTAGCTCCATAAGCAGTTAAATTCCTTCATGGATTATGTTTCTGATAAATTCAAGGAGCTCTTTGAGTTGATAAATTCCAAGGTATGTGTTTCTTTTCCATTGTGCATTTCTTTTTATTTTTTAGTTAACTTACTATATCCTTTTTTTAAAAATAGCTTGGTGCAAGCGAAGTCAAATATGGTGCACATCCAGAGGAAGACACCAGTGGTCGTCAAGACAATAATGATTTTGTGAGCAATATGGAGTTTGGTGGCAATGAAGATGTTGAAATGGATGGTTGTCAGGTGTGTTTAGTTGTGCATTCTGCACTTTCCCCTTTTCTTTTCTTTGTTGTTTTTGATAATTCGATTCTTTTTAAAAAAAATAGGTCGGTGGAAGTGAAGGCAAAGATGTTCCACATTCTCAAAGAGATACTAGTGTAGCAGATCAGTTAGGTGTCAATGCTATGGAAGGACCTTCTGGTGTGAAAGTTGACATGTTTGTTGCTAAAGTAACTTTCACACCAGATGTAGCACATGCTGGCGTTATTGGTGAGATTGCAGATGCGGCGGCAGGGGAGACGGAGGAAGAATCTGAGAAACAAAAGGCTCCTGAATCCCGGACTGGTGCTGTTTGTGCGACTGCAAGTGTTGATGCAGCGACAGGGAAGACGGAGGAAGAATCTGAGAAACAAAAGTTCCTGAATCCCGGACTGGTGCTGTTTGTGCGACTGCAAGTGTTGATGCGGCGGCAGGGGAGACGGAGGAAGAATCTGAGAAACAAAAGGTTCCTGAATCTCGGACTGGTGCTGTTTGTGCGACTGCAAGTGTTGATGAGGCGGCAGGGGAGATGGTTCTGTACAATGCTGAATTACTCCTAAGTATCGCGCAAATGGAAAAAGAAAGAGATGTCCTGCAAAGGCCGTGCAGTCTTCTTTCATTACTGTGTTTGATTCAGGTTCCAGTACTGGTGTTGTTGCAGCGAGAGGAGAAAGGCAAATTTATGCTATTAAGCATCCTTTTCAAAGCAAAATCGGAATTGGCGTTAACAGCTCTTTGTTGAATGTATTTGCTGCGTGGGTCAGAGAAGGAAAGTCCAGAAAGAAGTATGTTTCCAACTTCTGAGTTTTTTTTAGTTTTATATTTTAATATATTGTCACTTATAGCATTATTTTATATCAAATCACTGTACTCTTTTGTGTATATATGTTACCAGGAATGAAATTTACCCGAAGCATGTTAGTGAACTCAATCCAGCTTATGATCTTGGTGTATTTCATGTTGACGACAAAAAATGGTTTTACACTTTGGCATATAATGGTCAGCCATTGGATGACTTGGTATGTAAGAATTAACTTTTGCAGTCTATTTTTAAGATTTTAGCCAGTGTACACATGAACACTTAGTCCTCTTAAGTTAGAACAGATTATTAATTGCTATTTCCTGGCACAAGAGATAGTAGTGAGCATTCATTTTCCTTTGTTTTCTGTGATTTTGGTTTGAAAAAACGTAGCTGCTTAAAGCTTACGAGCCGTTAGTGATTAGTTATTTGTTATGTTTTGTTTCAACACATTGATATTTTGTTCTATTATCTGAGGAAGAAGGGGAAGTATGACAAAGACCTACCTGTAACATTCACTTCCACAGACTGGTACTTCGACGAGAAAATTAATGAGTTGTGGCAGGCGTTTATTGATACAGATGGAGACAGTGATGTGTGCACTCCGAAACATGTCATTGCAGAGTATATTCAGGGGTTTGTCTTGGATGCCAATGTTCCATGGCACACTGTCGAGCATGTCTTAATGCCAATTAATGTTGCAGAACAATGGCAATGGATAATGACTATGATGTCCTTCAAGGATAGGTGCATTTATGTGTATGACTCTATGCGCGGTGGAGCTGCTCATCAAGCCAAAGTTCATAAGACCATGGCCAAGTATTCTGTGTTGCTACCTTATTTTTTCGTGCACACGCATTTCTATTTAAACAAAAAAGATATCAATTGGCGCACTGGTGTCTACGAATCAAAAGACTTGATTACCCCCTTTGATGTAAAACTGGTCGAAGGGTTGCCTCAACAAGTCGAAGCGTATGAATTTCTTTCAACACGATCTGTCTTGTTTTTAGATTCTGCAGTTTGATAGTTGTTTTTTTTTGTTTTTGCAGTGATTGCGGTGTATTTGCGGCATCATTTGCCGAGTATTTCATTGAGGGCAAGACGCCTCCTAAAAAATTCAATGCCTATGCACACCGGCGCAGATTTGATGCTCTCTTGTGGGATTATGCTAGAAAGAAGATGGAACTGAACGCGCAAAGTGATGATGAGATTATTGGTCGACAAAATAAGTCGCGGAAGCAGAAGAAGTAGTTACTTTTGTCATTGTTGTAGGATGAACTCTATAATTTTGTTTTTGTATTGTGTTCTGTTATTTTGTCATTGTTGTAAGACGGATCAGATTTGTTTGTGTTTGAATTTTAGGAATACTTTTAAGAATTGTATGGCAAATGAGATGTTTGCTCTGTTATAAAGGTTTAATGAGTTTCAGTGCGATATTGGATTGTTGCAGTTTAGTTTATTTTTGTATTTTCTCCCTTGATTTTGTGTTGTGAATTATAGATATGAAAAATATACGGTAGTTTGTGATACATTGTCTCTTGCAGATACACGCATGATACATACATGGTACAGATATGATACACAGTTTTCAAATATGTATTGATGAAGCCACTCTTATTTGCAAATTTCTAAAACTATTTGCATAGTTTTCTAGCTGCTACGACTGTTTTCCATTAGTTAGCTTTGTTACTACACAAATACAGGCATGAGTAAGAGCCTATACACAGAGATACATAGGTGATACATAAGCGATACATAGATGATACAAATGTGATGCACAAGCGATACATATATGATACATAGCTGATACAACTTCTTTTTAATCAAACAGATGTATAATATAAACTTGCAACACGATTTTAATTGATAGGTCAAATATTTATTTATATCTAAAATTCAAATGACATTATACAATGATATAGTTCTTGATATATTGCATTCTTCTAAATCTCTATGATATTCAGTAAAGTAAAATAACAAGTAATTCTAAAATTGACATATTTCATTCTCTCTTTGGATTATTTCTACAAGTTTTTCTGTTGTGACCTTCTTCTCCACACTGTCCACATGAAATCGACCTTTTTCGTTCCCTTTCAGATATTGGCTTGCACCTCCCCTTCCTTGGCCTTCCTATTGTTTTAGTCACGTCTGGTGGCAAGACTTTTTCATTTAGAACTTCTGCAGGAATTTCCCATGTGCTTTCATTAGGAACCGGATAAATTGGAGTTT